TCTTCTTCTTATCATAGCATACCAACCAGCGAACACCCAGCCAAGTTTAGTTAGCCAGTTTGAGTATTCGTTACAGGTACAGAGCGAATGGCACATGAGATGACCCTTTTGTCTGCTGAGGTCCGTACCCTTCGCGCTGCAAATGAAGCCCTAAGTAAACGCCGTAGGGCTAAAAAGACTCGTGTCCGCCAAGGAGGGGCACTTATAGTAGAGGATGTACAGGATATGTTAGCTCAGGAGGATGTAGATGAGCAAGTACGACGCGACATGCGTGAGGCGGGGGTTGGTTATAAGGAGGGGCAACCTTCTAGGCGGCGCTGTAGAACTTGTGGAAAAGCTGGTCATAACGCGCGAACTTGTCAAGAAGTTATAGATATATCTAGTTCGTCAGATATAGAGAGCGATAATTAATTTAATATATTGTGGTTGATTTATTTAGGTGTAAAGTTCTGTGCCAAGAAAAAGTGATCGACTCGGTGATATGATCGACTCGCTGATAAACCACGTTATAGAACTATTAGAAAGGTGTCGTAGTTACGAAGCGATCTTTATACTTGGGTAATATATAGGAAGCGAGGATGTGTTATCGGCTTCTATGTTGTTAGAGATAAGAGGATAATGTGATAGAAGTGTGATTTCGCTATCTCTACTTTTTTATGCTTGATTAAATAGAATATGATTTTTTTCTACCGTGTTTGGGTATTGTCGGTTCCTGAGTTCTGGGAGGAACCTTGATTATCGGATGTGAGTTTATTGTAAGATACGAGTACCCGCGTGACAAGGAAATATATGTAGATAATAGAGAGCACTAATAAGCAAATAGATAAATAAACATTCGATTTCTTACTACCACACATCCCATCCCATCCTACAAAGCAAAGTAAAGCAAATCAAACCTGGTCACGACATTACCGCATTGTACTATCCTATAGTATCTACTATAATCCAAAGCCAAGGCCAAATCCAAAGGCAAATCCAAAGATACAGTACTCGTACGAGTATCTTACGAGTATATCCCATCTAGCTGTCTAGCTGGAAAAAAATGATAGGAACCTACAAGCCCGACTGACCGTCGACCGATCCATGTATCTTTTCATCGTTTTCGAGAATGTGGGATGGACGAGTTTTCGATGGTTACGGGTATGGAGTACAGAGTTTCATGTATGTAGCGGTGCTATTTAGTTTGGGATATGAAGGTGTGAGGATTAGGAAACAAGGAAGAAAGGGTACAGTAAGGAAAGAAGGAAAGATAAGATGGAGGGACAAGTTGATAATTTGTATCACCCCCACGTTGAATATTTTCCCGATAGCTAGACTACTCCCCAAGTTTTCTTTTTCTTTTTCTTCTTCTTGATTAATTGATATCGGGGATTTCCTTTACAGTAGCTTCAGCTTGGGCTTGGTGATGTGACGTGATAGCTCTTAGTAGAATGAGTCATTTGTTGTTGGGCTGGATTTTTTAATTTTTCAGGGGAGGAGGTATTTGATTCTAGATCCAGATGGAGGGAGGGAGAGAGAAGGCGTCGGAATGATGTACAGTACATTACTTGTACAATACAATATATTTGGACGAGCGGAAAGCCAAAGCCCAAGTCGAGAACCCATAAAAGCCGGAGTAATAAACCAAGAGGGAAGAAGTATAGCAAGCAACCCTTCCCCAGCTGAATCCGAATTATTCCAGAACACAACAAACTAAGTCACCCAGACCCTCATGACCCAAACCTCTGGTTTGAAGTACGATACTGCACTGTACTGTACGTCTAGACACATGCATGACAACCCAACGCAAATTAAGAATCTGACCGCTCGAAACACCCCTTCTTTGCAGAAAAACGTGGCTGTGACGATAGGACCTTCCCCATCTTTTCGCTTGGTGATGAGAGGATGGATGGTGTAGGTGGGATGTTTTGTTTTATTTTGTTTTGTTATCCCTTCCCCCCTCCCCCCGTGACCCTGGTTTCGTTAAGCCGAGAGGAGATGTGTAGTCGGTAAAGAGCCGAGTAGAGTAGATTCTGATCCAATGATCTGAACCCCTGGATTCCGAAACTTACGGAGAACGTTCATATCCCTGATGACCTTGGGTCCTTGTGATGTGGATGGAAGGGCTACAAGCTACTGGATATATGGAGGACAGTACTAGTAGGTAGTTTGCAACTACTCTAGTCATTTACTAGTAACGTCTCTGGTTCGCGTTTTGATACTGTGGAGGAGAGGATGATTAGATATCTCGCATGTCTGCTCGGATCTAGACTTTTCGGTTGTCACGAATACGTGAGGTCTTTTCAGCCGCTGTCACTTTGTGTTCTTGTGTGGTTGTACTGGTAAGACTCTCCTCGTCCCGTCCCGCTTGTTTCGTCCCATTTGCGGGTTGTGGGTGTACATGTGTGTGTATACAATACGCGGGTATCGAAGCACCGCACCACCTACTCCTTAAGGATTCTCCGAGTCCAGTCCAGCCCCAAAAAATGCCTAGATATTTTTCTATCTGGCTAAAATGGGACAATGGTTTTCTTTGTTACGCAAATCGATATACCAGGCATGCCATGCCCTGTTCCCTACATAGACGTTAGGTAACTGACAACGTGCAACTGGGACATGGGGGTTACGCTAGTAAAATAGACCTCGATACTGCTTGGCTAGAATTACTTGCTCGCACGGGATGGCTGGTGATTGGCTAGTGGGATTCTGATATCCTGGTAGATGAGTAGTCCCAGATTAGTTGTTCTCTTGGCTAGGAGTGGTGGGATTGACGAGGGGCGAAAGATCAAAGACATTATTTCAAAGCTTCCGAAAACAGTGTACAATAACGGAAAAAGGTAGAGCAATGGGGATTCTAGAACAAAAACGGCTTCATGATTTTCGTCCTCGGGTTCTTTTGTAAGTTTTGCACAGGGAGCTGAGATGTGTGTCCCTTCAGGGAACTACACGAGCCAAGATGAGTGACTCTTCATGAAATTACACAATACCATAGCTCATGAAATTCCATCTGGGTGAAAGCCGTCTGAAACCTTTCCAGGCAAATCCCAACATTGAATGCCCCGCTTTGACCATGTGATAACCCCGCGTTAGAAAGTTGGAGATTGCGGAGAGGGACGAGGGGCCAGCACAGCCGCGTAGCAGTCGCATGACACCTGGATGGACGTTTGTTTTTTGCTTCTTTTTGCGGGCGCCTCTCGTTTTGATAGTATGCGAGTGTGTAAAGTTATTGCGAACAAATGGGCGGGGTGATGTCGGGCGTCTCTGAGATGTGACTGCAATGACAGTATGACCCAAAGATAAGCTCGAAAGCATCGCATCATTTCAGCAAAAAGGGCATCAGGCGATCCCTCCGCCCCTTCAGGGTTCTCCACCTACCCCAGGCTTTGCGAGCCTATTCCACCTACCCCAGGCTTTGCGAGCCTATTGTGCTGCCAGACGGGTAGGAACTGTGGGCTTCTACGGGACGGTACACAAGTATGGGCAAAGATGACCCCGCGCCCGCCTGAGCCGCACGGTGCATACCTGTAGCGAGTGAGCGCAACCGTGGCCGGGGGCGGGACGCTAGCTCAAGCTGGTCTTGGATTCTAGGTACTCTCGGGCTAGGGATGCCCTAGGTGTACGTACAGGCTTCACCATGCTAAGCAGCTGGATCGACCGCCACTATTGGCTGACGTGAACGCCGTTTACTGGGCATTGGCCTTCACCGCATCGTAGCCAGGTCTTGGTTTGCTTGTGAATCCACTGCCACTCCTGGGCATCGTGTATTTACTGTTCACTATCTCACCTCGATGGAGAGCTCTGTATCGCCGACTACATCTCATCCCCTCCCTCCACTCGCTTCCTCCATGATTCAGAGTATGTGGTTGTCTTGTATATAATTATCCAGATTCACCTCGGTCGAGTAGTCCTGTCTCCTCCCTCCTACCGCCCTCGGAGCTGAATTACTGTGCCGCGATCCTTTGAAGCTCTACAACACCATAATTCCCGCGTCAGCGGCCCTCTTCCTCCCTTCTCCTCTGACACAACCTTCTCAGAACCGCAACATTCATCATGTCTGCCACTCCAACTTCCACTGCGGCGGCCCCTGCGCATACCGTTCCCCACCAAGGAGGAGTACTGGATGGGATCAACCCGACTCATTATGATACCAAGAATCCCCTCGTCTTGTTTATCATTCAGGTACGTTGGTCCAAATCTGGTTGATGTAGTTGCACACCCGAATACCGACAGAGTGGTTTATACGGCAGTACTCGTACCGAGCACCTCGCTAGTGAAACGGTTACTCTGTACTTGGTGCCTGCAGTGTGGAAATACAAAAAAGAACTTGGCTAATAATGTGTTTTGCAGGCCGGTATCATTATAATTTTCTGCCGACTCCTACATTATCCTCTCTCCAAGATGCGCCAGCCTCGAGTCATCGCGGAAGTCATTGGGGGAATCATACTGGGCCCTTCGGTATTGATGCGAATTCCCGGCTTCGAGGCTGCCATATTTCCACCAGCCGCCATGCCAAATCTAAATCTGGTAGCGAATATTGGTCTGATCCTCTTCCTCTTTTTGGTCGGATTGGAAGTCAATATGCGCATGTTCTTGTCAAATTGGCGTATAGCGTTGAGTGTTGGATTCGCAGGAATGATGTTGCCTTTTGGTTTAGGTGCTGCCATTGCATGGGGTTTATACCATACCTTCAGAAACGACCCCAACACTGTCGTCATGGATTTTGCGGTTTATATGTTGTTCATTGGAACCGCTCTGTCGATTACCGCTTTTCCAGTGCTTTGCCGCATTCTGACCGAACTGAAGCTTTTGGGAACGGCAGTTGGTGTGACCGTCTTGGCCGCCGGTGTTGGTAACGATGTGGTAGGTTGGATCCTTCTGGCACTCTGTGTGGCCTTGGTGAACAACGGCTCCGGAATTACAGCACTCTACGTCTTGCTTTGCTGTGTGGCTTGGATTCTCTTTTTGGTTTTCGCGGTTCGTCCGGTATTTATCCGGGTTCTCCGACGCTCTGGAAGTCTTCAAAACGGTCCAACCCAATCTATGGTCGCCCTTACCCTTCTATTGGTACTCTTGTCTTCTTGGTTCACCGCAATCATCGGTGTCCATGCCATTTTTGGAGGTATGTAATTGTCTGTTACTATGGACGTAAATTTACTAATGCCTGACAGCTTTTTTGATGGGATTGATTTGTCCTCACGATGGTGGTTTTGCAATCAAACTTACTGAGAAACTCGAGGATTTGGTTACGGTTCTCCTCCTTCCTCTCTACTTTGCTCTATCTGGTTTAAGCACCAACATTGGACTGTTGAACGATGGCATCACATGGGCTTACGTTATTGGGGTTTGTACTATTGCTTTCGCGGGCAAGATCATCGGTGGCACTTTAGCTGCTAGAGCTTGTAAACTCGTTTGGCGAGAGAGCTTGACCATCGGTGTGTTGATGAGTTGCAAGGGTCTTGTTGAGTTGATTGTTTTGGTGAGTTTCCTTATAATCAATTCATTCCATTTCATGCTGATATTTGTTAGAACATCGGTCTGCAAGCGAGGATTCTTTCCACCAGAACTTTTACCATCTTCGTTGTCATGGCACTTATCACCACTGTCACAACCACACCCTTGACTCACGCACTCTATCCACCATGGTATCAAAAGAAGCTTGAGGCTTGGAAAAGGGGAGAAATTGACTGGGATGGCAATCAGCTTATTGCCGATTCTACCCCAGAAAACTCCTTGGAGAAGATTCGCAGCACCCAAGTTCGTAAGGTCTTGGTATACCTACGTCTTGATAGTTTGCCTAGTTTGTTTACTTTCATCTCGTTGCTTGGTGGGGATAAGGGTTCCACTGCTACCAAGGTCCATCGTAACAAGCTTTCTCTTGCCTCTGTTCCTGAAGGCAGCGAAACCACTTCTGAAACAAGTTCAACCGGGCCACCAAAACGACCACTCGAAGTACATGGTGTGAGAGTCGTCGAGTTGACAGAACGAACATCTTCGGTCATGAAGGTTTCGGAGCAAGACGAGTATGCTTACCGGGATCCTGTCGTCAATGCTTTCAGAACTTTCGCTCAACTCAACAATGTGTCCGTCTCTGGAGAAGTCGCAATTGTCCCCGAAGCTTCATTCGCGGAAACTCTCTCTACGCAGGCAACCGATCATTCTTCAGACTTGGTCTTGATTCCATGGAGTCAGACTGGTCATGTTTCCGAAATCGATAGCAATAAAGACAACATCTCCAGTGGTTTACAGGATTTTTTTATACGCAAGACGCTCGAAAGTGCTACGACGAACACCGCCGTCTTTTATAACCGTGGCTTTGGTGGTCCTTCGGTGAACCAACCCAAAACCCTTACACGTTCTGCAAGTGGGCTCAGTCTCGCAAGTCATCGTGATCGTACGACTGCGCCTATTGCTGATCGAAGTCATCACGTATACTTCCCATTTTTTGGAGGTGCTGATGACCGAGTCGCCCTTCGATTCGTTTTGCAGCTTGCAGTAAACAGCAACATAACTGCCACAATCATTCACTTCAAGTTACCTCTGCACTCTACCAAGGTTCCCGAAGTTACGACTACTGACTCTCCTCGTGTCTCCACTTCAGGCGGTTCAAGTGGCTCGAAACTCGAACTCACCGCAAGATTGGACACGGAAGATCTTCAGACCACGGCTGCACAAGATACCACCCTTTTACACACTCTCCGCGATTCCCTCCCCTTGGCTCTCGCAAACCGTGTCGTCTTTATCGAAGTATCAAGCTCCACGCCGATCGCCGACTGCATCGAGCACGCCAAGAAAGAGATTGGTCAATCGCCCAAGAACGCGGGTGATTTGATTGTGGTTGGACGAGGAAGACATGTTCGCCTATCGGATATTGAGAACCATGGTGTTGCTGGGTCTGACATGCGTAGGACCTTGGGTGTTCTTGCTGAATCTCTGATTTCTAGTGGTGTCAACGGTAGCGTTTTGGTTATGAAGGCTGGTGGGCAGGAAGTGGATGCATAGGATTGATTATTCCCCCATTCATTTTTTGGCGTTCTTTTGAATGAAATTTTGGGTTAATGTTTTGGGGGTGTTCCGTTGATTTCGTCTTCTTCAATCTAGTTTGGGTCCCGAATCTGGAATGAGTAGCAAGACTAGATGAGGGGATTTATATGGGGGATGGCGTTGGGTTGGGCAGGACAGACACTGGGTGACACTGTCTAGGTCCGTAGCTTTGCTTTTGATTTTGCTTTCGAGGATGGATTCCCCTTTTTTTTGATCGTCTTGTCTTGTCTATGGTTGAAGTGGGGGGGGGGG